ATTAGGACCTCTTAGATTCATTTTGGATTCATAATTTCATTTCCACTTGCACAACTGCGATTTGTTCTGGATTGCCAATGTTTTGCACAAAGGAAAATAGTATGCCAGTGAATTGACAAGGTTATTCATTCTATTGACGATAACTTTTTTTGCTGTTGTTGAAGCCCTGAGCACAGCAAACCCTGTGTTTGTGAGGTGGTACAGCAGTGGTTTATGCATTGGATTAAGTGGCTAAACTGATGTCTGTACCAATCGCAATCACTTTGATGGTTCGTTTTTTGCGCATGCAACTACGCCAAATTCCGGACTAGTGAACTGCCATTTTGGCGAAACAATCTGTTTCCAAGTACTGAAACTGTGATATTCCTTACTGAATCACTTTCCTCCCTGTTGTTTATGAAAATTTCCGCAAAGATCCGGGTACCACTTATTCTCCGCTCATCGACGATGAATCCTCTTCTGCACCCCTATTTTGCTTTGCAATTCTGTTAAAGGGAGTCAGATCGCCTCGTGTTCACTAGGGTGAGAGCAGCCAAATTTTACGACGAATTAGGGTAGAAAGTACGGCTAGGGTCGTTCCATTCATCTACTCTTAAGACATCCTCTATCAAATCACACGCTTTGTCCAAAATTCATTGATGCGAAAAACTAGAAAGTCAAATGATTTCTCTTTGGATCTATCTCTTCCATCTCCTTTCAGACTGATGAAGCTTGGATGAGGGAGGTGGAATTCAAACGCAATAAGCTACCACGAGCTCGAAAAACCCTCGGAAAGAAGGCTGAGACCACAACCTATGTGCGCAGGAGTAGAGCATAAATATATTCACTTCTCTCCTGCTCATTACATTTATTCAGTGTTCTTTACTCGAATCCTTGGGCACCTCTGATGAGGATTTCATGCTAAGGTCGGGGTTTGTTCCGTTTCATCCATATTGAGTGGTCTATTTTAGTTTTATTGATTTGGTACATAAGAGACAGATAATTCGCTGAAGAGATCATAACTTGGTTATTTAGGATTCAGTGTGGAGATGGTAGGAGAAGTTAAGATCCGCCAAGAAAGTGGCAGCAGATTTGGGGTTTGGATCTCGCTTGAACCTTTCTGATAGCATATTCCCAAATGAACGCCACTGAGTTGAAATTCTTGGTGGGCACCCGAGGAAGTATTGTTATGTTCGAGCGTTGTGTGCTGATGTCTACTTTAGAACACTACTGGACGTAGGGTGCGGTTCATGACACCACGACTGCAAGTTTTGCAGGGTTTTGACAGTTTTCGCAGCTTCTGTTGTAGGAGCTGTCTGTCTGCCGTCTGGTCCTTGAACCTCAGACTTCAAGAAAGAGTTAGTTGGGATGATTTATTAGGCATTTGTTATAGGAAGAATGGGGAATGGGATGTAGGTGAGGCGAGTAGGAGAAATCAAATGGAGAAAGACTTGCCGCCGGCATCGCGCACGTGATTCGCGTTCCCAATTGGTTCCCGCCTCTCACCTATAAAAGTCCACTTAAACAAACTAGTATATATTACAGCTATAATCACTTTCGCGCTGCTCTTGTTAATAGTAGCTATTCTTGCATTGTCGCAACCTTCACCACCGTTATAGAGGGTCCTGCACTTTATTTTACGTTGACACTACAAAGTACCCAGATAATGTATTTTGTGTTGAGGGGATCTCATTACGATGCGGCGCTACTGGGTTAAACACATTGGATTAAATTAAGCAGACGTCCAAGGTTCCAAGCTTCCATTTGCCTTACCTTAGGCTTTCGTGGTGGTCAACCCAAGTAGTCACTGCTTTAACCGATGTACTACCCAGGTGTGAAGATGATGGCATAAAATGCAAGAACATCAGACTGGTTCAATCAGTTCTAAAAATTCGCCTTTAGAACTCTATCTTAACATAGCACGAACGATCTGATGGCTATGCAACACAATGGCATCCGCCTGCCAGTTGGTTATTTTACTGAACTGACTGACAATTACTCATGAACTCGGAGTTTTCTTCAAGGTAGGCCCACGCAAGAATGCGCTCGATGTCTATTGGTTAATCATCAGCTGCGCAGCCATTCTTAAAACTCGGGAGGTTAAGGTGCGACTGATTCTGAAGAGGTGCTTAGCCAGAACTCATCTTGCCTGATTTGTAATAGATCACTGGGAGTTGGCGATCTTGTTTGTCACCAAGTTATTTGAAACCGTGGAACCTGAATGTGTCGATTTTGTTGTTCGTGTCCCAGACTTTGTCTCCTTCTAAAAGTTGGAGGCGCGAAATCGGATGATGATGAGCAATACACGTGAGTTATTATAAAGTGTCAGTATTTAAGTGTTTTTAACCTTCGCATTTATTTGTTTAAGTTCGCTAAACCGTGGGCGCTGTAGTGGAAACTATGGCTGTCTGCGTAGTTTTTTCTCGCTTGATGCCAATCCTGATAACCCTCATTCTTCTCACCAAAGGTACTATCAATGAGTTAAGCGCATCAGAAGCTGATTGCTTGAGTGATAGTTCATGCTTCTCCTCTTATCTAACCGATGAACCATTTGATTCCGTCAATGGTGGAACTGATTCGTCGGATCTATTGTCCAAATTGATTGTATGCGATTAGTGTCACATAATCCTTATCCATAGTTATCTACTCTCCTTCTCTTTATCGTTTCTCCCCTAATTGCAATTGTTATTTGGAAGTTGGTTCAGCGTTTGCGGCACAAAGGTACGGCGGCGTTATCTTTAATTTGCTGCAATCTTAGTCCCCTTTCGCCACGAAAACAAGTCTACTCGTTTTCGTTTCCGAAATCGAGATAAAATTCGCTACTACGCTATCCGTTTGAGCCGTAATTTTAATGCGATCGCTTCCAAATCTCGCGATGAACAGCGGAAACTCATTATCGGTTATGTCAAGAGGTTACTCGTTCTCACTTTACTGAGTATACCAATTATAGGCTCTTCAGTGGTGATTCAGAAGGTCGTAACCCCTTGCTGAAGCAGCGCAACCTACCCAAGTCCTTTGTTGAGCCGGAGTCAGGAGATGAATCCGGCGATATGCCCGAGGACTTAAAGCTAATGGTCAACCACGTTCGAATCCTCTCCTACCTCGGTCGGGATGTTGTGCAGGCTTTGTCTAGCGTTATTAGTACCATTGAATTACCCGTCAAAGGCTATCTTTATCGTGATGGGGATCCTGAAGATAAGATATACGTAGTTAAAAGTGGTCGTTTGGATTTAAAAGTCACCGACAAGGTATGCGTGGCTGCTTATCTCGAACATTCTTTGTCGTAAATTTTCCTTACTAGCAATTTGCACAAACTTCTACGCTTCTTCAGGATGGTTTTACGACAGCTATTCATGAGGTTACTCCTGGAGGAAATCCCTACAGCCTTCTAGCGATTGTAGACTTGATGAACAACCACAAACCGAGGTACCATAACATTGAAGCAGTGGCTGTGACTCCTTGCAAGGTTATCTGTCTTGCGATTTCGGACCTTATTAAGGTTTGCCGGGAATATCCACCGGCAAACCTTCGACTTGCGCAGATGATCATCATTCGCCTTCATCGCGTCACATTTGCAGCCCTGCACAATTTTTTCGGTCTAGACAGGGAGCTCTTCTCTCAGGTACAGCAGATTGAGTTCTCACTCTTACTGATAAATATGTCCCTTGCATATTTTATTTATTCATCTTTCAGGGACCGCAAACATTTCTCAAAGACTCAGCTGTTGAGTTGTTTTTGAGGCGCCTGGGTGAAGGGAATGAAAACGCATCAAATAGCGACTGTAGGTGCTGTTTTTATCCTCCTACGCCTTGGGTTTATAGATTTCCATTGCCTTTACACATATTTTTTGGTTAATTTATGACGGAGTG